TACAGATTCCAGTATCTGCAGTCATCTGCTCCTACAAAAATAGGGAAGTTTTGCTAAACTATATAAGCCACCGGCTATTCCACCTGGAATACTGTGAACAGTTTGGTTCCCTTATCTAAGGAAAGATACAGTGGCATTGGAGGCAGTCCAGGGAAGCTTCACTAGGGCAATCCTGGGTAGGGAGGTATTATTTTATAAGGAGAGGTAGAGTGGTTTGAGCCTGTACTCATTGGAGTTTAGAAGACTGAGAAGTGACCTTATTAATACATTATTATTATGGCAGATGCAATAGAAAAACAGAATATTATTTAAATGGAAAGAGATTGCAGGACATGGTGGCATAGAGAGGTTTGAGTTATCTGAAAGTGACCTCTGACTTTGTCCACCCCAGCAAAGTAAATATAGTGTTGGCATCTGTTACAAAGAAAATGGAATTTAAAAGGAGGCAAATTTTACATAAGGTTTACTGGGCATAATGAGTGCACAGACTGGATTTTACCACATTCCCAGCCACCGTGGGAAACCCCCATAAAAAGAGAGGTGGACGGGGACTGAAATTGGCAGCTGCCCACTTTGTGGGAATTGATAAGGGGTCAATTCAGCTTGTTAACAACGCAATTAGGAATACAGTGAAAGGGAAAACAGACAGCGTAGGCAACAGGAGTGAGTGATAGGGAAAATAGTCAGTGCACATTTACCGGTAATCACAAAATACATACTACAGCTAGATGTGAACATGTGATTGGGTAATGTAATCACATGTATTAATTTGTCTGTGATTGAATAAGTTTGACTACGATTGAATAATAAAGCCTATGTAATATCTTGAATTACCAGGGTTGAACAGAGATAGAAGTTAAAAAGTGTGTAAGGTACTAATTGAAAGGTACTACTTGTAGAAGCAGTCTTTTGTTTTATTCTCTTGTGGTATGTGTTGCTGACTGGGCCAGCATTTATAGCCCGTCCCCAGCTGCCCTTGAGTGGGCGGTGGTGAGCTGCCTTCTTAAACCGCTGTAGTCCATGTACTGTAGGTTGACCCACAATGCCATGAGGCTGGGAATTCCAGGATTTTGACCCAGCGACAGTGGAGGAACGGCAATATATTTCCAAGTCAGGATGGTGAGTGTCTTGGAGGGGAACTTGCGGGGGTGGTGTTCCCATGGATCTGCTGCCCTTGTCCTTCTCGATGGAAGTGGTCGTGGGTTTGGAAGGTGCTGTCTTATCTTTAAGAGTAGCATAAAACCTTCATTCTTGTGATGAAGATTTGAGTTATGCGCCATTCTCTTGATGTGTACTGCTCCCATGCATGCGTAAATAAACGTATAACAAAGAAACCGGTGTCTCGTCTGGTCAAAGAGGAAATAAAGGGTAGAATTCACCCTTAACAATAGGAACAGGAGTAGACCATTCAGGCCAATGATCCTAGCCCAGTGTTTAAATAGATCATTGCTAATCAAATACATCAATGCCACTTTCCTGTATTGTCTCCACAGCTCTTAATGCCAATAGTCTGTGGAAACCTATAATTAGCTCCTGTCCATGCTATACTGTGATTGGGTGGGCACACAGGTGGGAAAAGGCAGCCCATTTTCTTTCCCCACATGTTAATAAAGAGATGAAAAAGCAGGGAAACTGTCTTTGGCTGGTGCCGCTTTCAGGCACCTTCCCAGAGGATTGCATGCCTCCACCCCGCAATACCTTCCACTTTAAAAACCCACTCACCTATGGTGGTGGAAACACAATGCCCCCCACCCAACCTACCCTCCCACCCATCCTACCTGTATCTAGTATTCTATTGGGCATTCTGCCTATGACTGGTTGTAATCTGGCAGACTCTGTAACTGCCAGTCAATGATTCACCGAATCATTGAATCTCTAGTGTGTGGAAACAGGCCATTCGGCACACTGAGTCCACACCTCCGACAGCATCCCACCCATTCCCTGTAATCCTGCATTTCCCATGGCTAACCCACCTAGCCTGCATATCCATGGACACTACGGTCAATGTAGCATGGCCAATCCACCCAACCTGCACATCTTTGGACTGTGGGAGGAAACCGGAGCACCCGGAAGAAACCCATGCAGACACGGGGAGAATGTGCAAACTCCACACAGAGAGTTGTCTGAGCGTGGAATTGACCCTTGGCGTTGTGAGGGAGCAGAGCTAACCACTGAGCCACCGTGCCACCCTTGAGAAAGATTTTTTTCTCTCAGAGGACTGATAGTCTGTCGACTTCTCTTTCCTAGAGAGCAGTGGATGTTGAACCATTGAACATATTTAAGGCTGAGTTAGATAGATTTTTGATCAACTTGGCAGTCAAAAGTAATTAGGTAAGTTCGGGGAAGTTTTGTGGTTGATAGCAAAGTGCAGTTGAAGCAATATGATCAGCCATGAACTTCTCAAACGGCACAGCAGGCTTGAGACGAGTTTATACACAGTTTTATATTGTTTCAGCATAACCACCATGCTGTTTGACGTTATACCTCAGCTAATAAAGGGAGGTATCCCATATATTAAAAAAAAACAAAGAACTGCAGATGCTGAAATTCAGAAACTCAACAGGTCTGACAGGATCTCTGTGGAGAGAAAGCAGAGTTAATGTTTTGGGTCCTTCTTCAGAATAGAGTGTAGCTAGGAAAAGGTTGGTGTATATGCTGAAGATGGTGTGGGGAAGAAGGAGTAGTAAATGATAGGTGGTGCTGGAGCCCAGAGAGAGAGAACAACAATGGGTCAGACAAAGGAAGGGATAAAGGTCAGCCTGGGAGAATGAATAGCTGCTAATGGGGACTATTAGTGGTTGACAATGGGTTATTTGTGGTAGCAGCCCATGTAATGACAAGGCCTGGTGTGTGGGGATTGGGGTAAGGACATGGAAGAAGATATTCAGACTCTAAAACTATTGAACTCAATTTTGAGTCGAGAAGGCTGCTTTGGTCTCCAAGCGGAAAATGAGGTGTTGTTCTTCCACTTTGTGCTGAGCTTTACTGTAGCACTGCAGCAAGCCAGAAACAGAGATGTTGGCAAGGGGAGAGAGTGGTGTGTTGAAGTGGCAGGCAACTGGAAGCTCAGGGTCTTCCTTGCAGACTGAACAAAGGTGTTCTGCAAAGCGGTCACCCAGACCACACTTCGTCTCCCCAGTGTAGAGAAGACCATGTTGTGAGCAGTGAATACAGTAGACTAGATTGAGTGAAGTGCAGGTAAACTGCTGCTTCACCTGGAAGGTATGTCTTGGGCCTTGTATAGTGAGAGGGAAGTAAATGGGTGGGTGTTGCATCTTCTGTGATTACCCAGGAAGCTGCTGTTCTAAGGGTCACCGCACCTGAAATGTTAATTCCTATTTCTGTCCACAGATGCTGCCAGACTTGCTTAGTTTTTCCAGCAATTTCTATTGTTTCTGATTTACAGCATCTGGAGTTCTTTTCAGTTTTTATTTGTAAATGCTCACGCAGTTTGTCTCTCCACAAATGCTGCCAAACCTGCATAGATTCTCCAGAATTCTCCGTTTGTATCAGATTTCCAGTGATACACTGCCTTTATTTGAGTTTACGTAATCTCTTGCACTGGTTTAAAAAAATGACATTAGAAGTTGTCTTCACTGACAAAACTGGTCATCCTTCTAAGATGTGTAAACTCGAAAAATGATCATTTTGGGCTGCAAGGACACTAACAGATGTTTTACACACTGTGACTGTCACAGAAGCAAAGTGCTGCAGCTCCTGGAGATATGAGATAAAAACAGAAAGTCCCGGAGGAAATCAGCATCAGTGGTGTGAGAAACAGTGTTAATGTTTCACATCAATCTGTCCTTGCTTGGGATGGAACATAAATATTGTCGATAGAAAGCCATCAAAGCTTTGCATCTTGCATTCATCAGGACACATGCAAGAATACAAAATTTCAAAGGGGACAACAGTTTATACTGCATGGGAAGAAGGTGCTGATTGGTGAAGGTGTTACTTAGGGATCCCCCAATAGGGAACAGTTATCCATCAAGAGATAGTAGGAACTGCTGATGCTGGAGAATCTGAGATAACAAGGTGTAGCGCTGGATGAACACAGCAGGCCAAGCAGCATCAGAGGAGCAG